AGACTTCAACAATGGTCAGACGATAAACACAGCGCCGGAAGAACTTCATCTATTCAACAAAGCACTGGATAGACTGAAGGCTGAGGAAGTCAAGAATTGAAACAGTTCACAGGTCATTTGACACCGACTAAAGGCGGGGGACTATCATATCCAAAGCATTCCAGACTCCTCTATAAAAGAATGAGTCTGAAATACTTTAGAGGGGGTATCTGTAGGCATCTAAAAATGCTTATAGGTATCCACACACAGCTCGAGACAGAGAGAATGTGATGAACGCCACTATCTAAGTCTAAGAGGATTATCCGACGCCGATGAACACATGAAGCGAAACGGCGAACCAAGTGGCCTGTGTGCTAATCGGCCACCTCCAAGTGGCCCGTGTACTTACCAGCCACCAAATCGGCGAACCAAGTGGCCCGCACACTCATCGGCCACTGTCAAACTATCCATACGTTCGCGAAACGAATCGGGAAAGCGTACAAGTCAACGAAACGACAAAATACGCGTAACGACAGAACAAGTCAAAACCCGAAAAACAGATAAAGCCCCTGGTGACCGAGTCGCGCCAAAGCGATCCGGCCAGACCAGTGAGCCACCATATGGTGGCCCGGCCAGGGCCGAGCCATGTGACTGTTCGGCCAAAAGTTGGTTTTTTTCGGTTCTTTTATGGATTCTTTCGGATTTGGGAGTTCCAACTGCTCTGATACAGTGGTTATGTAGTGACTAACTAAAGATAGAGGGGATCCCTCGTTTTGAGCTGAAGAAACTATCAACCAAGCCTATAAATAAGAGCTCTAGTGTTTATTTTCGGGGGAGGAGATCAATAGGATGAAGTGCTGCCGAATTGGAGAGTGGAGCCACGAATTTACAGCAAGGGTTAGCAGATCTTGGCGATCTCCTACGCATAAAGAGTGAAGTTCGAGAGATCTGAGACCCGTCCCATATTCCTCCGGATTTAAGCTTGGTCTTAAATCCCGAGAAGAGCCATGATTTTGCTTAGTCAAAATCACTGCTACTGCAATTACTTTCTTTGTGAAGTGAGAGCATTGATTATCCAACTTCTGCTAACCGGATCTGATATGCGACGGTCCACGGATATTAATATCCCCGGCACAGGCAAAGAACCCACACAAGCAGCGGGTGATAAATGTCCGTTGCGCTGTTTGACAAGAGTTGTAATCTTTATTTTCATTATGTAAAGGAGATCTTATAAAAAGATCGACTTTCTTTCTTTTTTTGAACTTATTGTAATGGCTGAAATTGTATAAAAAGATCGACTTTCTTTCTTTTTTTGAACTTATTGTAATGGCTGAAATTGTAATGAGTTCGTCACTAATGAAAATATCAACTTAACTTATTGTAATGGCTGAAATTGTAATGAGTTCGTCACTAATGAAAATATCAACTTTTGACCCAAACAGCGGCATACGATGCCGACGTAGTCCGATGCATCATAAATAGCGTCAGGGTGGAGAAATGATGGCGCATGCTATAGATGTTAATAATCAAACAGATAATAAAATGGGGGTGAGGTTTATTAGGGGCCGCTAACTTCTCCGAATATCTGATTTTGGGTTGGGTAGTTTCTCCCTACATAAATAACAAGTCGTAAGAGGACGTGGACTAGTTCCCCCCGTTGTTCCTCTGACGATCAAGTCAGTGATGGCCTTGAGTGGGAAAGTAATGAACTGTATGAGTTCTAAAGTGCAGTGGAGTGGAGAAGAATGCTGAGAAATTGCTCATCCTATTGTTAAAAATAGTACTCCTATTTATAGTAGTGATAAAAGGGTAGAATGGTAATTTCGACCGAGTATGGGGTGGCGGTCCACGTCAGCATCTGTTTTACATGTGTCGGTCGACGAGTTGAGGAGAGGTCACTATAGGTCATAAAACTGATCTCAAAGATTTGTATTAATTGAAATTGGATTACAAATCAAAAATCACTTTTACACAGAAGCGAAGAGAATTGATTCGATCTCTCCTTATTTAACGTGGGTTCTTTGATAGCGATAGGATGCCTCCCTGATGCTCGTATCGAGTTTGCTTCCCTTGGACGATTTGAATGAGATTGTAGACAAGTTTCAGTGCGTGGTAGAAACTTGAGCCGAAATAGTTCGATCACCCGAGCTTGAAATCAAGGCCGAATGCTCAAAATAGGCAAGATTCGATTCTTTTATCTCCCAAAAGACCGAATCCCAAGAGAATTCAAGATCTCAGAATGCTAAGATCAAGAAGATGCAAAGAGCCAAAAATTAGATCTCAAAGATGCTAAGATCGAGATTAATTCAAGAATTCAAGAGACAATGATCCGATCTCAAAAAGCCAAGCTCCCTTCTCTGTAGCCGAATATGGCTATTTATAGAGAAGGATGGTTGTAACCAACCCCTTAGATCGTGGAAAGTGGGCGTAACCACCTCCACAATTCAAGTAAGTGTTTTTTAAACGCTCAGGTGAGCTCGTAGGTGAGCTAAGCGAGCCTGACGAGCTTGCATGCGAATTTGGCGAGCCTGGTGAGCTTGCAGGCGAAGTTGGTGAGCTGGATCGTGCAAGCGAACCTCCTGCGGGCGAGCTTGACTCGTGCGGGCGAGCGAAACATTCAGGCGAGCTTAGCTAAGTTGCGAGCTGGCGAACTAAGCATTCATGCGAGCTTAGTTCTTGTAGGCGAGGTTGGAGTATATGAGCGAACCTCGTAGGTGAATCTATCAGGTGAGCTTCAAGCGTTCAAGTGAGCTTGGCTCATGTAGGCGAAGTTCAGGCGTCAAGGAACATAACTTTCAAACCGTAAGTCAGAATTAGACAATTTATATATGAAAATTTACTATATCGACGAGATGGGGCCGATCAAGCCAACCAAAGTTTGATTTGCCACTATCCGTTTTGCCAAATTCCCTCCGGTTTGAGAGATATCAGCGTTTTTATCTGTTTTTACTATTTTTGGTAATGTTCTTGCAGGCGATTTTTTTGAATTTCTCTATTAGGGATAAAAACAATTTTATTTGCCTACAGTCACCTTAGTATTTTATGTGAAGTGATTGAGGGTATGACAGTGTCGATGTGGTCCGATGAGTCATAAAGACTATTGGGGATAGAGTAATGATGGCACCTACCAAGCATTTAATGTGACGCCGGCGCGCTGTCAGCGAGGGTGGTTCGAGGTTGAAGCTGTCCTCTGGCTTGTAGCGATGAGTGTCGAGAAGTAATGCCTTTCGAGTCAACCCTGTAAGGTGTCAAATAACTGGTCGAGTGGGCTCATAGCGAGTCGTTTTCGACAAGAGGACCGACAAGTACCGCCCTTCGAGTTGACCTAAGGATATGTCGACTCGGCGAGTCGGGTAAGTAGGGATTTTTGGTGGTCCTGATTGTCAATTTGATTTATTAAAAATACCATAACACCTGCCAAGCTTTAATGTAGATGTCGACGCGCTGTGGGGGGGGGGGGGGGCGGGTTAAAGGTTGAAGTCGTTTCTTTTGTCTGTAGCGAGTGGGGTGTCAGAGAAGTAACGTCTTTCAAGTCGACCTCGTGAGGTGTCGAATAGACTATCGAGTGGATTGGCAGCGAGTCGTCTTCGATAAAAGGACCGACAAGTGTCGCCCTTCGAGTCAACCTAAGGAGATGACGACTCGGCGAGTCGGCTAAGTCGGGATCCTAGCAGTCCTGATCGTCAATTTGATTTGAACGGTGCATGTCGGGGGACACATGCCCACTGCTAGCAAAGAGCCGCCATTTGGCGACTAAAAACACCATAACAGGTAGGTTTGAAAATAAATAAGGATAAGATTTATTGCTAAATAACCAATCTACAATTACAATTTATGATATAATAAATTTATGAAATATAAATTAAGTTTAAAAGTAGTTCATTAGAGTATTTTAGGTCAAATTCTGACTAGTGAGTGAATTTAAAAATAGTTAGGGAGTTTTGGATTTATAGAAAAAAAAACTCTTTATGTGGTCTTCCATTATATTATTATATTATATTATTAGGGTTGATGGAGTATTTCAGGTTTATAATTAATTTTCAAGTGGGCGGGCTTAAAAGTAAATTGGGTTAGCTTATTGGGTTTATAAACAAAAATTTTATTTATTTATTATTACTTTTAATTATAATGAACTAATGTTGCGCAGTTGAGAAAAGCTTCAAACCCGAAGAGCACTATGTACTTTAGATGGATTTTTGAAGTGGTAGACATATAAGCAAATTGGGTGGAAGATTGGGTTTGTAAACAAAAATTACTTATTGTCCCTTTTAAGTACTGTAGAATGAATAGTGCTTAGCTACAATAACAACCCCAATAACTTTAGTATATAGGTAATAAATATTTATTATTCTTAAAAACAAAAAGTCTTTTTTGAGATAAAGAAATAAAAAGTAAATATGGTACAAACAATTTAGTTCATGTTTTTCTGTTCAAAGTACAGAGAAATTATTATTCAAAATATAAACATAGGTTAACTCAATTTACAACTAAACTCCTTAGGTTTTCATATTTATCCACTGATTTTGCATTTAAATTTGTGCTATCAAGAAAAGCACAAATCTAAAAAAACTCTTTGTATCTTTCACGGAGTCTAAGGCAACATCAATGAATAAAAAAGTTGGTGGATGACTATTTCATATCAATTTAAGTTGACATAAGATTTTTTTTTCTATATTATATATACTAGTGTGAACACCGTGCAAAACACGTCATATTTTTTCCCTGCTACCATAATCCCCCGGGTTTAACTGTCATAATAATTTTTTTGAATTGCTACAGTATCCTGCTTCTGCTACAATATTCCCGTGTGCAACATTAGTATTTTTTCAAAAAACAACAATGCCCAGATTTATGTATACTACAGTAAACAATGCTGTAGTGTTTACTGTAGCATGAATAGTGAATCTTGGGTTCTCCCGTTTGTACATAGGAGTAAATGTATTTTCCATTTTCCACACAAAAACACCAAATTGTAAAAAGGAAAAAGAAATATCCTTCTTTTTCTCAAGACAAAACAATTATAATTCCCTTTGTTTTCCCCTCTATTTTTTTTATCAATGTCCAGTCTTCCAAAACCCCGATCTTCTCTAAACCAATCCCTCCCTCTCTTAAACCCCCGGCCTCTCCTCAATCCTCCCCCGTCAACTGTCGCCGTCACCGTCTCCGACCAACCTCAGCGGCCGTTAAACGCCGCCGTCCAAACTAACGGCACGCTCGGACGGCGAATCGTCGCTGAAGAAATGGGCTCGTCGTCCCTAAAGAAGCCCGAAAACCCTAACGGCGATGGAGAAGGCGGCGGCGCCGACACGTCATACTTTGATATCTACGGTCCTGATGTGCGTACCTCTTTCTCTTCTCTAACTTTTGAAATTAGGGTTTCATCTTCACTTGAAGTGAATTGAATTAGGGTTTTATCTTAATAATTGGTTATTTATTTTAATTTGTGCTTTATGTGTTTCTGTAGCTCTGATTAGTGTTAAATGCTCAGCTTTTGACGATTTGTAGGATGAGAATGTAGTTAAATTAATTGGTATTAGTGCATGGAGTAATTTATTTGCATTCAAGTTTACTTTAGGATGGACTGTAGTAATTTATTTTAATTTTATGCCATATGCATTATCTAGCTATAATCAGTGTAAAGTACTCCCTCTTGGCGGTTTTTAGGAATGGAAATGTAGTAAGTTTACTTTGTATTGGTGCATGATTTTAATTTTGTGGCACCTGCGTTGAGGTAGTGGCTTTTGTTATTCTATGCAGGCTAAGGCAGATATTATCTTCAAAACGCCAACAGCGAATTCAACGCTAAACCTGCAGGTGTTTTTCTTTAAATTTCAGCTTTTGCAAACTCCTTAACTGTGCTTAATCAGTCTAAGAGTATTTTTACTGTTAAAACAGGACATTCAAGGACTTATCACCTGGGTAATTGGTGAGGGTATGATGCCATCGTGGGTTTTTGTCAAAGTAAGGTTGCTCCTTCCTTGTTTTCTGTAGATTATATATTTCTTTTTTTAAAGTGCTACTTCTAGGATAATACAATGTGCATTTATGTCAGCAACTTATGTAGTAGTGTCGTCTTTTTGTGAACTATAAACTGTCTTTCATCAACTAGTGTTGTTTATCTTCTTTCTAAGGCACTCGGGCATAACTATTAAAATGAAAATTGAGATGCATAAATATGGTAACCTTGGAATGCAAGGATTAATTACCTCCGTACAGGTAGTGAAATACTAGCGAGTCAACAATAGATTCTTAATTTAGCCTGAGTTTCTTTTTCTACTTTGATTTCTTGACTGTCTTTCATTTGATTAAAATAGTTGCATGCAAAAGATTCATCAGTCTGCTTATCCGTTTAACCGATTGCTTGTAATAAGTCGTGGTCAGAAAAGAACAATTTGAAAATCTGGAGAAGTTATTAGTTAGAACTTAGAAGAAGAACAGAAAGGGGACACAGAGATAAACAGTTAAAAGATATGCTGTTTGCAGTTGGAAAAATATTGGAATATCTCGCGGAGTAGGTGTTTGATCAACTATAATTAACTTTTAAAAAATGAATTAGTGAATCAAAAATCAATCCAGATGCTAGCTGGTAATCCAGTCAATTTGTTAATAATCTTTATCAGACATGTATGACTCTGCAATGCCTTGAAGATTTTATCAATCTACAATGCAGACTTTTAACTATGATCAATTCATTTGAAGGATATACGGTTCTTAAAAAAGAAAGCTGATATGATTTCATCAAACTTTGTACCTCTATTACACAAATGTCCAAAGGGTAGATTAATTATTTTGAATTTTGTAGAAGCCCCTTTTCAGTTGACATAACATGTCTTTCCTTTTGGTGTAGACCTGAAGTAGTGATGTTAATCCTTATGAAGCTTGGAGCATCCTTAGTATCATGGATCTTAACTAACTTCAGAGAAAATTGACTATTTGTATCATGATTCGAGCCAAAGGTTTCAAAATTTTGAGCACCTTAACGTGGCTGGCACATATTATCTTGGTCTGCGTATAAAATTGCTTCTACATTTTTACTTTTCACTATTATCCGAACCATCAGTCACTGTTTCATTTATTTTCGCTCTGCATGCTTCCTATTCTTCCATTTGTTTGAAAGTGTGTCTATCATCTTGATATGCGTATTTAATTTATAATCCGTCTCCTTTGGCTTAGACTTGTATTTCTAGATTGAATTTTGCATTCTACCTTTTTATTTGGTTTTTCTTTTTGCATGATCGGCTGCCTCATGGTGCTATATGTGTTCTTTTAATCATTTAGTAATTCTGAGCCATGATGCTCATATAGATGGATACTAATAGCATCTTTGTGTTTTGTAGAACAAACCGCTTATACAGAAAGTCATTCTTCTCCATGTTCCTGGCCTGGATGCTGCACTTTACATGTCAAATTCCAGCATACTATCAAGTTTGAGAAAACGTTGTGGTAATCCAATGCCAGTTTTAGCTCTTAGGTTTGTGAGAGAAGTTTTAGTTAGATGTTGATAATTTGAAACATTTTTAAGCTGTATGTTTCATCTGAATATATGGTTCAGTATTTCAGTTACATTTTAGTTTGTACAGATAGATTTGCTCATAGGTGTATGTATAATATTCCAGCTGCGTGTCAGATGAAATGCAAACAATCGATGCGCTTCTAACGTGCAAAATGAAGAGAAAGCGTGAGGAAGTTGATTTGAATTCTCAGGTTCCCAGTCAAACTTCTAAACAAGGTGAGTCACTAGGCACTGAAGTAATTTTCATCAGTTCATGAGTTAATATTGTTTGTAGTTAATTGTACAAGGTTAGCGATCTCGAAAGTCATTATGGATTCTGAGTTCTTCATTGTAAAGTATAAATACATGTATCACTCTGAAACTTTGTCATGATAGCAAATATTACCTCCCCATTAGTTTTGTTCAACACTTTGTTCCTGAGGTGTCATGAGACAGTCTAAGAGCGTCATAAAGCAAAATATACTAATCCTAAAATGCTCTAGTTTCTAAACTTTTGCATTTTCGTTAGCATTTCCCTCAAGTGCATATGGGACTTGATATTTATTTAATAAAGTGTTGCCACTTATTTTGTTATTATTTAAAAACCTATGGTTCTTTTTTTTCAGAAAAGCAATTCTCCTTTGGTAATCAGAAGGATTTACCTTTTCCTGTTATATACTATACGCTTTCAAGGAAGGAACTAGAAGATAATGGCTATTGCTTTAGCCAAGCAGGTAAGTCGCATCCAATCTTTCATATGTGCTCTTTTTTTATACTTTGGATTTTCATTCTTATCATACTCTGCAGGTTTTCTTTCCACCGTTTCTGCACCTGCAGGGTCTTCACCCTATGAAATGCTTGCACTTGATTGTGAGATGGTAAGAAAAATGTAGCTAATATACAAGCGTTTCTTTACGTCAAATGTTTTTGAAGAGAGAGTTTGGATGCAAAGTTACCTTAGCATCAGATGCTGTGCAGTGCTCCCGGAAAGAAAGGAGTTCAGAATTCAATATTTGATTTGTCTAACATTATAACCAAATCCAATATATTAGTTTTAGTAAATTGCTTTATCAAACATTATCACTTTATCCAAGAGATATATTATATTAGCACAACGGTATTTACTGTGGTAGAAGATACTGAGTTAAAACAAGGCAGCGCCTTTGACTCTAGCCAAAGTGAGAATGGACACAGCAAAAAATGAGAAATAAGATGCTGTCAAAATTAAATTTGTAAACCCAAATGCTGCCTCAAGAAAGAAATAAGTATGAGTAAATCATGCCGACAAGGAGGCAAAGAAGTGCTGCGTTGCCTTAGAGGCTCCTCAGTTTCTAGCAAATACACAGATCCACAACTATACTTTTTTTAGCAGAAGTATATTAGAGTTTAACCTATTCATAATAACTTGTACAATTGCATTTTTGGGGCTTAATACGGTGTAAAGTTACAAATTTTCTGTATTAGTCTATTGCCAAGATCTACAATGTGGGAAAGGAACTGGAAGGTTACCTTATTAGGTGGAGGTTAAACCTTTTTGTCATCTCTGGATATGGCTTGCTGTAAGGACAGACTAGAGACATGTACAAACCGCTCGTTTATATATTCATGGCAGTCCTATTTATACTATAAGTCAGATTTTCAATTTGTTTGCTGCTTCTAAATCCCTGTTGAAAATAGTGTTCTGATCCAAGTGGACAATGTGGATTGGATAACTCATCTTTGTATCTTTTCTTGCCAGTGCGTGACAGCAAATGGATTTGAACTGACAAGGGTGACTTTGGTGGATGTTGCAGGTGAGGTAAGAGTCAATACATTTTCACCTTAAATTTGTACGCTAAATAAAGTATGCTGAAAACAGTATGCTATATTATTGCTCATACATTTTATGTCATGTATTTGCGGTGACTGATGAGTGGTTGAAGATTGGGGAATCATTTCACAAATAACAAGTACCACTAGATTAGACCACAGGATGATTCTTTTTTTTATTTTTATACTTGAAACATATATGTGACTACTCTTCGTATCTTCCATTATCAGCAATTCTGTTCTACTTAGCAAAAGATATGGCCACTCTACTTGAAACAATTTCCTGGATTTTTCTTGAAAGTACCTGTGGGCGTGAGTTACTTCGGAGCTTTCCTCTTACTATATGAAGTTAAGAACATGCCATGTCATCTCAATATCACCATTTAAGCAGCGCTCGTCTGGAACTATTTCTTTCAAAAAATTAATGTGAGCTACTGACATTTGTTAGATTGTTTATTACTTTGAATCGAAGGAGCACAAGGCCAATATGTCATCTATCCTCATGGTGAAGAGGATAATATAAGGGGTGCAAATAAAAGGGTCTACAAACAGAAATATCCAGAAGCTGTTGAGGAGAATGCTCACCAGTTGTGGGATTACTGCGTAGCTGCATAGAATTATGCCGAACTTGGTATTTTTGGAGGCAAGAAATTTGGCTGTGTCTTATGTCTCTAATGTATTTGTTAATTTATTGGACATTTGGCCCTCAAGTTATTTCATATATAAAAATGGAAAATCCTTCCAAATCCTTAACAACCATGGTTGACCTTCCAGATCTCTAGGGGGGATGCATTACAAATCTTTTAATTTCATAGGTTGTGCAGGATCTAGACAGTTCAAATGCCACATTTTCCCCGTTAAATATTGTCGATATATTTCTTATTCATTTTCTTTAACTTGTTTTTTTAAAATTCTTTCTATTCTGCTTATCATGCATCTTTTGTTTTATTTTCTTTCAGGTGGTGTTAGACAAGCTGGTTAAACCTTCCAACCCTATAATTGACTACAACACAAGGTGAATATTATACATAACTTTACAAAGGTTTTTTCTAGCTTGGAAATGAGACTTAATTTAGCTTCCTAAGGGATCATTCTGGTATAGTAAATGGACATTCACAGTTACGTTCACATACGTCATCGATCTTGCCATTTGGTTACCAAATGAAGATGACTACTGGTTTTACATGCATTATGGATGTAGAACATGCGCTTGGCAGTAAAGCTTATGTTTTTTCGTTATGAAAATATAATGTGGATATTAATGTAGGTCTCTTGGTTTCTCGAACTTCGGCCTTTATAACTCTTCTGCGTTTATATCCTAAAATCTGGTTATTTTCATTCATTTATAAGTTGTTTCATCTGTAATACAACTTTACATAACCGATTCTCTCTGTAAGAGAAAATTAAAGAAACGATATTGCACATAGAAATTTAATAGGTTAATAATTCTTCCTCTGTGGCCATAGCTTGCCCAGAGGAAAATTTGTAGAATCTGCAAAGATAATTTTATTTGAATGTTGTGGTATTGGTCTATTGGTCTTTTATCTACTGTAGAATGGAGTTACTCTATAGAATCTTAGCTACCAATTCAGTTTTAGAAATCTTTATTCTAGAGTTAATCTTCCATACTCCATTTTATGCAGGTATAGTGGTATAACATGTGAGATGCTTAGTGACGTGACAACCTCACTCCAGGATATTCAGAACATTTTAGTCCTAACTATATATAATCAACCAAACCCTAATCAGATGACTTTCACTCAAGCCAACAAAGAAAAAACCCCCCTACATTATCCAACTACAATATGCAAGTACCAAACCCATAGATACTACTCTGTTGTTTCATCATATTCAGGTTTGATCTGACAGACATATGGCTTTCAACAATGAAGTGAATCCAGTTCTGATGTAAAAACATATCAATTGCATTTCTTGCATTTTTGCAATATTCAGAATTCATTTGTGTGTTGATTCTTTGTCGTACAAAGCTCACATCATGGATCTCCAAACTCTATAATATTTTTGGTCAACCTAATCGTTGTGCCTCACCTAAAAGGAAATATTTCTCAATGTTATGGTATCAGTGTTGAAAAGAGATGCATATAGATATAACAAAATCAAACCTGAGTAACATATGATAGTCATCATGCTTGTCCGGCAACAAATCTCTAACGATGAGTTCTTGCCGGAAAGCATGGACTTCGCTCTCCCCTGCATTCCTTAGATCCTCTATCAAAACCGAAGATGTTCTGATATCAAGTTTCCTCTTCCCCCTTTTCTTAAGAGATTGGGTCAGCTTATTAGAAGCATCCAGTGCTTTCTTCTTTAAGGACCAGTTTCTTCTTCTTCTCTCATCCTCCGAATTGTCCACATCCGATCTTCTTTTTATCTTCTCTTCCAGAGTAGCCAACCCCCTTCGATACCTTCAACATGACAAACTACAAAAAATTAATCAGACTTATGCATTCTTAACAGTTAATTTACTTGTAGAGCTTAATTTGCACCTGACATTGTATCCCAAGGGGAAAAAGATCTATCTTTTCCTCGAACTTTGCGGATTATGAACTGCATGAGAATTTGAGCAGCAAGCAGAAATAAGCAAAAGACTTTAAATTGGTGAAAATTTCCCCCCAACTTTAGATAGAAAACTGTTTAAAAATAAGAACTTTAACTCAATTGACCAAACAAACGTGCATTATAGAAAAAAAAATTTAGTAAATAACCTAAAATTGTGTCGTTTTCCAGAAACCGCCCATCAAAAGCTCCTCAACCGAACCTGCATTCTACGCGTACGTTACTAAAATGCGCCGATCGAGTAACCGCAGACCCTAAATGCTCATCAAAATCGCAGCAAAAACCTCAATAAATAAGCCTAATTACTCCAATTTCAGACCTAGAGCACTGAATTGAATGAAAGGATGAAGTACCTCTCGATTTGGATCTGAGATGTTTCGGAGAGAGAAACCGAGGGTTTTGGGAACCGATCTGTCGGCTGTTTCTCTCTCTCTTGGAAATTTTGGTGGTTGCTCTCTCTCTCTCTCTAAAGCTAACGTATACGGCATCGGGTCACCGGTTCAGATCCGCGAGCGTCCGTATACCGCTGCGACCGCTGCTAGATCCTGTCATCGCCTTCTTCTTCTTAACCTCTCTCGAACTCATCGCCGATGGATAGATCGAGGGATTCGTAAAAGAGAAAGAAGGGATCTCTTCTATCGCTTCGAGCTCTTTGACGTTTTTCTTGATAGACTTAGATCTTCTTCTCCTCTTTTACTGATGAACTTAGAGAGAGGAGGCAGGGGAGGAGTGAGATGACAGCGGAGGTTTGAGAGGTATCAGATTTGGTAGAGTAGTGGGGGTAGATATGGTGATGATGATGGTGGTGTAGTAGGAGATGAAGAGAGCCT